CCCCCAAGGGTGGTGCCACTTCTAAAGGTGTCTTTTTTAGACCATTCCCAAAGGAGGAACATTTCTCGTTCATGCACTGTAGAATTGTAAATGGGCTGATTCATCAATGTCACACTCATGATAACTTTGCCTGATCTACAACAGGGAACTGGTGCTTTTTCTTTCCTATTCCTTACTGTTGTCATTTTTTCCTCTACTTCTTTTGTATGTTTGTCACACTCTTGTGACCCACTATGTCCGGGGTGCCTTGATAGTCGAGCAGACTTTGTGCTGTTGAAGCTAGAGAGGTGAGCAGAGTAAGTCTGATTCCCTGTAAGGACTTCTCTGTTGACATCCACCCCTTGGTGCTGATATATGACCTTATGCAGTTGCGAGCGCCTTAAAACCTCTACTAAAACTAAACTCTATGATAAAGACCAGTGTTTGATGTTTGTTCCCAGACGGCCATCAGGGGAAGTGACTCCGTCCAACGAACGTGCCCACAGCCAAAGTCCGTACAGAGAGCAGGAACATCGGCAGCCATCTAGTGGTCACCATCTACTCAGGTTGGAGAACAGTGTGGACAGGTAGGTCTTGGCTTCAAAGCGCGCCCTCACCATATCATGGCTCTAAGTTCATGATACATAGTATTGAGAAAATAGGGTTCAAAGATTCACAGTCTTACGGCTTATATATGGGTTTTTTTCACCTTATTTGTTAAGGACTTAAAGATTGACACTCTTACGACTTCAATGTTTTTACACCTTATTTGCTAAGTATCAAACTTGAAGAAAAAAATTGTCAGAATATCTTGAACGTTTGACACAGGCTTCTGTATCAGTAGTGTGTAGTTTAGTTGTCGTAAAAAGAGGAGTTTATACCCGGTTATTCATAGTGGGCCAAAGTGCACTTGTTTCTAGTTATTATACTCCATGACTTGATGTGCCTGTCTTGTCTGAGACAAAAAGGGAAAATACATGTAAATTCTGTCAAAGCAAAGACATAGATTATGATAATAATAATAACAATAGTATAGTTTTTTCAGATCAAATGTACACATAAGAAATACAAATGCCACATAGCAAGTTCAAATGCCACATAGAAAGTTTCACGCCACATAAAAAGTTCAAATGTACTATAGGAAAGTTTAGTGCACAATTATGCATAACAAATTCCAATGTACAAATAGCAAATCCAAATGTAACACAATAGCAAGTTCAAATGCCACATAGCAAAAGCAAATATCCTCCACAAAGATTATTCAGCGTGAAAAGCATTTTAATGTGCTCAAACTGAGTTGACAACAACCATAAGCAGTTTAATTTTGAGGTGAATTGATCACCATAAAAAAAAATATCGAGGATGCTCCCGCGGAAAGAAATTCAGACAGGACTGAAGCAACTAGACATCAATATGCAGCATGGCTGATGCAGAACATTTAGCGGTATGAATTTGCCTTTATTGAGGAAGCCGTTGACGAATAGAAACCGATGAAGAGCACGGAGTGGTCAATGCTTTGTTCGAGTAATGCAGGGTCGAAGGGGACCGATTGCACGATGCAATAGGGGCCTAATTTGCTGTCAATGACGAGGGTGGCCTGGTCTTTCACGACTTCCAAGTAGAGGGAATGGTAGCTTTCGTTTCAACCCATCCCTCTAAGAAACTGGTCCAACAATCCCCACAACGAAGTATGCTTTGTATATAACAATGCTCGTGCACAAAGGCAGGCTTTAAATGGCAACTCATCAATAGATTGGGGAAGAAATATCTACCCCCCTACACACCTTTTCTTAACATCTACGAGAACGCTTGTGAATTTGGAAAGTCGATTTGAAACCGTGGCTCGGTGAAGCAAAAGACCAAATGCTCACTCAGCTGACTCATCAGCAAAGGATGGTCACCCTTGCCCAGATGATGGAACTAAAAACCCTAGCTGTGACTATAGTGAAAATGCAGCAGCCTTCAGATCAATGCAAGCGTATAAGGCACAGCGTTTTGTAGTGCAACAATAAGTAAATAAAAGTAAACTTGGCTTTAGATTTCACTCAGTTAGTTCTATAATAATATACCAGCAGTGTGTTGATATGTATCATTACCATTCGTTTCAGTTCAAACATATGAGTTTATTTTCGTTTTTTAACATAATTTAACTATTACTTTCGTTTCACATGATTTCTTCCTTGTGGCACCACTCGGCTTACGTCTAACTTTTCCGTGGCCCAAAAAACCCAAACCCTTTTACTTCTTACCTTGATATGCTTCTTATACTTTTAGCCTCCTTTTTAGTTTTATTAAGAGTTTTTCGGCACTTGCAACACAATAATGTCATATAAGTGCCAAAGACTAGAGGTGTTACAAGAGAATAACAGACTTAAAAAAGAAGGAGGAGAGATAAGGATGATAGATATTAGATAGGAAAGAAGGAGCAAACCATACCAGAGCACCCGCCAACCACCCATTTAGCCTCCCTTTACTCTAGTTCAAGCATATTTACATTAGAACTTGTTGTGGCATTTGAATTTGCTATGTGTTACATTTGAGATTTCTATGTTTACATTTGAACTTGCTTTTGTTGTATTAGGACTTTTTATGACGTCATTTGTATATAAGGATTTGCTAGGTGTAATTTGGTCATTCTATGAGGTCATTAAATTTATTATATGTATATTTGAACTGAAAAAGCTATAATTATTTTGCCTTTATATAATGCATCTCCACCTTCAGAATTTGTATGTAACAAAAAATAGTTTCAGAATTTAAAGCAACATAATTTTTGTGTAGCACCTCACTAAAATGTGTTCTTCCTTAAATATTTAAAAACTTGTTATTAAATTGGCAGTGGAATGGTTTTTTGGACAGAGAAAGAGACGGCTGTTCAGCAGGGTTTTTTTTAAAATTGGTCTTTGTCAATTAATATGTGGAGAACCAGTGCCAGCAATCGCTGGCCTCTAGGGTGTAATGGTTAGTGTTGTTGCTGTTGTTTGTAATTCCCATATGAAGTGTGACAGACAAGTCGAAGGAACCTGCGTTTTAAATGATCTGATTTAATTGGGTATATGTTTCCCTCTCAATTCAATCACAGTTGGGGAGAATATAGAGATGTTGGACTGCGTTGTGTTTGTTCTTCTTGTCTAACCCAAACGACAGTAGAGTGCACAAAACTGTCTCCGTGGTTTTATGCACCCTGAATAATTGAGCCAAATTTGATCATTTATTGCATAATTTTTTATTATTTTCCTTTATCACTCTTTGTTAAAATTAACAGAATCGCATAATTTCACATTTTTTAGCTCAGTTTGTATAATTTCAGAATTTTTTTGCATAAAACTGCGGGGACAGACCAAAACTGACATCTGCAGGACTGCTGGATTTTCTTTGGTTTAGCGATGTTTTGGTTCAGAGAGATTGCTAGAATAGAAGAAGACAAAATCAGGGATATAATATTTTCTTTCGGTTTACTGCTGTTTGCAGATTAACAGGGTTCGGTTTAAACAGGCTCCACTGTGGATGAAACAGAATGTTTGTGTCAAGTATAGTTTTGTTTGTGAATATAGTTTGTCTGTGTAGTTGGCCTGTGATGACTGTATATGATAAGATAAGACGCATCTTTATTGTCCAGATTCAGGCACATTGTTTTGGTGTTTCACCCCGTACACACATACACACACAGACGCACACAAACACTTACACACACACAAACATGCACCCACATGCAGGCTTACAGTCACATGTATAATATAAATGAACAGTAATGTAAGCAATAGTAATGTTAAGCTAGATACATACTCAGTATTCTGTTTGTAATACGATGTTATTCTGATGCAGGCTCTAAGGTCATATGAATACTTGTAACAAGATGTTTAAGATTGAAGAATTTTGGTGGATGATGGTAAAAATGGCTTTCTGTTTTCTTTGTTACAGATCAAAAGCTTAGGTTTTTTACATCTGACTGATATTATTATTTGAGGGAACAGGGATGTTTGTTGTCTAAAAAGATGGAATTTTTTTAGTGCAAGCTGTAATGTTTAATTCATCCAAGTAGGGGAGTGTAGATGTTGAAATTTTTCATGCTTTCCGTATTAATCGATTTAATTTTTCTTTATCTTGTTTTCTTGTGTTCCCGGCCCATGATGTTATTAAGAAACTGATCATACTTTTTATGGCTGAATGATAGAATATGGACATCAATGTTTTATCAACTTGAAAATACACGAGCTTCCTTAGAAAAAATAGTTTTATTGTTTTCACTTTTAATTTCGAGTGGCTGCAGGAGCAGTTTCTTTTTTCTTAAGTCAACAAGTTCTTTGCTTTTATTTTTACATTTATAAGCAGCTTATGATTTTCACACCATTCAGAAAAGTTTAGTACAAAATTCCGGCAAACAGTTTTGTTAAGGTCAGCCTGAATGAGCCTAATTATGGTTGGATCAGCCGCAAATTTGATCAACTTGATATTACTGTTGTTTATTTGGCAATCGTTCGTATATAGTGTTACTAAAACTGGTGACGAAACACATCCTTGAGGGGCCCCTGTGTTTGTTGTGATGTGTGTCAATGAAGGTTTTAATTTTACATACTGGGTTTGGTTGGTAAAAAAATTCCCTATCCGTGATATTAAATTGACATTAACACCTATGTTTTCTCATTTCTTTAAAAGGATAGCTGGCTGGATAGTATTAAAGGCTGAAGAAAAATCAGCTAACAGGATTCTACAATACACTCTTTGTATTTATCCTCAGATATTTACCTCAGACCCAGAGTGCACCTCACAGCCAGCACCATCAAGGACTTCACCCTCAGGATGCTCCAGGGCCACACCATGCCAGCTACCCCAGCCACTACCACCACCCCCACCCACACCAGCAGCAACATCCGCCATCATCTCTACCGCAGCAGCATCACTATCAACAGCAGCAACAGCATCCATCAGCGCCACCGCAGCAGCAGCAACAGCAGCATTCCCGGCTGAGTCCTCACCCATCTCCCCACCACCTCCACCCACACCACCCTCACCAGAGCCGCAGTGATACCTCTCGAGTGTCCAGTCTAGCCCCACCCCCCTCCCCCCAGAACCGCAGT